CACTGACTCACCTGTTGACAATTTGGTGAGTCCGTATCCGTTCCATCTGCTTTCGCAGATCCCCAATACTTGTAGTCCGTATCTCCTCATTTCGCTTGCGATCTGGGCAGCTTTGCTAGTCTCGTACATGGTGCGGACATTCCATGTCCCCACACAGACTTTTTCTTTTGACGCAAGGAGACTGTTCACGCTGAAGTTTCTGTAGCAGGTTTGTTTACAGGGTGGGGTTGCTGGCCTCACGCCTGAGTTTAGTCTTTGGGTACCTGAAATAGAAGAAAGGTTAGTGTTGCGTGACCGCAGAGCCCAGGGGACATCTGCTTGAGGCCGGTCACACACGGCCTGGTGTGTCTCAGTAGCGTACTTATCACTTCTGCCCTGTGACACGGCAGCAGAAAGCGCGGTCGTTGTTAATCCGGGCCACGGCCGATCCGGCATGATATTTCTTGGATTCGTTTGGTTCATCGGGTTGGATTGTTGACGACTAAGTCCAGCCCCCACTGATACCGTCGCCAATGTATCAGTAGGTTGTGAGGTTTGACAAATTTGGTTGATGCCCGTTGCTACTATCAACGGAGCTACGCTAGGAACGGTGTGGCGACCCAAGTTATCTCCTACTGATACCGTCGCCACCGTCATATCAGTAGAAGTCTGGTTAAGCTGCCGGTCAGCCTCGGTTTCATTTTCAGCTCCCCGTTGTCGATAACATCGTGGATGAAATGAAAGACCATGTACATCCTAAGAAACTCTACAATAGCAGAATACATCCTGAAATTAAAGAAGCATAGCTCCGCAACCGTAAGTCCTACAGGGACGAGACAGGTACCAATTGGTTCGTCTCGTCGAGAGGAATCCAATGGTATATAAATCAGAGGGTAAAAGCTATTCCTAAGAAGAATACGAGGGTTTTCCTGCCTAGCAGTCTCTGCCCCCCTGCTGCCCTATGGTTGGTAATGCCCCCTAGCTACATACACAACGGCATACAACCTGAGGTCGCGGAGCTAAAAGATGTCAAGAGAACAGCCAGCGGCATGAACTCTAGGCCTAGAAACAGGTTTCCCCTGTAGCCTTTGAAAAAATTCCCTATTCGGCTGAGGAGAAGCTATAAGGTGTGAAACCCGTACCAATGGGTAGATTTCGTCGAGAGCTATCCATTGATATATAGCTTCCCTAAGTCCTAGCCTCCCTGGAAAAATTTTGGCAGCATAACCCCAGAGGGCGGAAGCCCAGATATCAAAGATCCTGAGGAAGGCTGAGGAGAGGCTACAAGGGTCGAAACCAATGTCAAAGGATAGATCTCGTCGAGAGCTATCGATTGATATATAGCTTTCCTATGCCAGAGCATCCCTAAACAAACTATGACCGTATGGTCCCTAGATGCCCCAACATGGTAAACATGAAGCTAAAACCTAGCCTAAACATGAAAACTACTAATAAAAATAATATAAAAAAAAAATATAAGGGTCATTTGATATAATTGCACGATTGAAATAATAATAAGTGCAGAAGAGTTTAAGCATTTTGATGGATGGAAATTCTGATAGCCCAGTGATTTGAGCAGGCCTCCGGTACATACATACATACATACTAGTAACAACCTGATACATTTTCACATAGTAGGCTGTTAACCATATTTGGTGTATGGATGATAACTGTCGGTGGTATTGGATTTCCCAAGTCGAAGTAGGCGGGTTGAAGTTTGGACGCATATTGGATCTATTGCATGTAAAATTGATTGCCTGAACCAGCAAACCATTATCAATTTAAAAGATATTTGTAGTGAATATTTTACAGAAAAAGAGAAGGGTTTTTTTGCATGCTTTTGTTTTCTTACACCCTTTTGTGAATGATTTCGTTGACGAATTGAAATGCCTAACATTCTGTCATTATCTGACCCTTCAATGATAGTTGCATACCATTATTTTACTTTATAAAGTTGCTCTTATTGGGGATAATATTGAAACTAATAAAATGTTTGTCTCTCAGTTCTATGTATAATGTTGTGCATGTGTGTGTGTATGTGTCTGTGTGCGCGTTGCCTTAGGTTTTATTATATAATTATATTAATTGTCTTAATCCGATAAATCGTTCACATTCACCCAAATATTGATGACTAAGACTCGCTAACTGATTTCTGAGATATTTGGGAAACTAGAATGCTAGGGGAAGATTTTTTAATCCTGTCGGTTGTGACAGGTTCTCTTAAGGTTCATGCCGTGTCACACAACCCTTTAAATTCCCTCAAAAATCTTAAACCAAAATAGTTGAAGAAGTCGGAATTTTCCGTTGACAGTTTGAGAAATCTCACTTTCACAGAATATTCTAACCTGCGTAAAATTTACCATTCAGCTTAGTCAACTGTAGTCAAAACTCACTTTATTTCAGGCTTAAGATGTAAATGTAAGCTACGTTTTTTGAGAGTCTCTAGTATACGATAAACCACACTCCATAGTTTTGCAATATTATGAATAGAATATAGTTGTAGAATCTGATGATAGAGAAGTTTTCGTAAAGCACGTTCTTTGTTCGATAATGAGTTTTCTAAAAAAATTCTCCACAAAATGCATGCAAAACTTCCCAGTTCTCAGAAGGAGGTTCATGGTATTACCTTTATATTATTCTTTGAAGTGTTTATATTTGCACAAATCAAGCATATCAGGTTATGTATACTTTACCCATTAGATTTAATTTCTCTGCAAATATGTACCGATAAGTCATTTAGGAGGAACTTTATATTAAAAAATAAATATATTCACGCCCAAATTTTATAGCCTATTTTATATATATATATATATCTGCAATCGATATTTTGTCTACTTTTGTCCAAGACTAGTCTAAATTATAGCCTTAATCTTTAAATTAATAAACAATAAATTGAATAATGTTTGTCATTGGTGTTTTTGACTTTTTCACCCTCCAATATTGCTCGTAACTTCAGTGCTTGTGTAAAGAATTGTAGTTATTTTCTTTCGTTCATGAGAAATTCCCATTCGAACATTAATAGACAGAAGACAAGTAGTTCAGCGAAGAGTCTCTTTTCGGCGAATTCATTTTCATAGCTGTACAATCGCAAATACATATGGTTGTTTTGTATGTGTGTGTACATTAAATTTGTCAAACGAAAATACAATTAGTAAGTTCAGATGAATTGGATGTTGATATAAGAGTGTAGTAACAAAAGTGATGAGTTGTCGTTCGTTTGTAGGTGAAACTAGATAGGTCAAGTTTCCTTTTAGAATGTTTTCGTTCCAGGAAAGCTCTTCATATTATAATATGATCATATCTTTATGAGTTGAAGTGTTCTCATTTCAGGCCTATCGATCATCTGGGTGTTTTTGTGCATATTGACAAGGTTTTTTCTTTCTTCCATTCCACTGTTAAGTGAAATCTTGAACATGTATTTTTGCAGACGTTAAATTCGGGTACCAGTGGGTAGAGTAACTGCATGCAAAAGCCTAAAGTTTAAATGTCCCAAAAGGAAGAAAAATAGTTTTCTTCAACTTTTGTATTATATTATCTATTATTATTTTATTCCTTTACTTACACAGGGGGAACATAGGGTTTCAAAGCTAGAGCTTCGACGTTTCGGTACCCGTGGTGTTTGTTTTTACGTGATGGGTTTGCGAGCCTCATGCCAAACTTCCTCTTTTTATTGGTCTTATTACCGGCTTAGCGAGGTTTGGAAGTGCGTCGGCTGGGGTTCGGACCCCGAACCACATGCATGGTCGGCGAGCATTCTACCGCTGAACCACCGACACACTCAACTTGTATATGCTGACCAAATATCCGAACGATTTTTATTGGCCTTCATTTCAAACTTGTGCACTTTTTCTTGTTGAAATAAATTCTCCACCTGTACATACAATGATATATATACATATATATATATATATATATATATATATATATATATTGTCAGAAATCTCAAATACCACTTCCCCCTTGTGTACAGGTAAAGAGTTCTACTGCAATTCGCTGAATTCTTGCCTTATTAGAATTTGTTGCTAGCTTTAATTACTTATCACGAAGTAAATGTTTCCATTTTTGAAAAAGCGCCTCCAGGTAAACTTATTAGTTTGAAAATATTTAACACTGTCTTACAATTAACCCGCTGACTGTTTTTCCTTCACCTTTGGATAAACATTTTGCTTTCCAAATTGTTAAACCTTAAATTGTTTACAAACCTATATGGGTCATTTCACTTCTTACTGACTGTTTGTCTATTATTATTATTATTATTATTATTATTATTGTTATTATTATTATTAAAATGACCTATACAACCTCATGTTTAACACTATTCTTACTAAAAGAATTTGTAATGTGCATAACAGAAAAGATTGTTATTTCTAGCTTTTCTGCTTTAAAATTGTTAAGATGGGTTTAGTAAAGGTTTCGCCTGTCTCACACCATAGCCTTTTTTCATGTATTGCAGTAAGCTACATACTTAATAACTTAATACCTAATAATAGTGTTGAAGTTTTTGCCTAATTTTATCGGCTTGCTTACTTCATTTCATTAAATAGTACCAACATTGGTTGCCAAATTTTCTTTTGGTGTGCAGGATTTTATGGGACTGTCAAAAATCTAGAATTCAGAAATAGAGTTACGATTTCTTCTTTTATGGCCTTTTATATTATGCGATAGACTTACATATTAAGGGAATGGAATCTTTGTAAAGGGTTGAATTCATTCTTAGTATGAATTATTCAGTTTTATAGTCTGCGTAGTAATAGCGTAGTACAGTTTGTGAACAACACTCTATTTTCTCCGTTTATGTCACATCACGGTAGAAGGAGTGTTGTGTAAATTATAGGCGATTAATCTTTTTGTAGTTGAATGATAAAACCACAATTATGTCATGTAAAGCGGAAAATTCTTCATTGTATTTCGAAAACTTTCCTTTTGATACCTTTTCTTCCAAAGTATTAAAGCATACACAATCTGTTTACTTATTGCCGTTTTCTTTCCTCTCTCTTTTTCTTTCTTCACTTTCCCAATAGGCTGAAAATTTATTGCTAGATGCAGAGCTGAACATAAAGATTGCAGATTTTGGTTTTTCAAATTATTTTTCCAATTCACAAAAATTGGATACATTTTGTGGAAGTCCACCGTATGCTGCACCAGAATTATTTTTAGGACGTAAATATGAAGGCCCAGAAGTTGATGTATGGTCACTTGGTGTAATCTTGTACACTCTAGTCAGCGGTACACTACCATTCGATGGTAAAAATTTAAAGGTGAGTAGTAAAAGTATCTTTTGTTGGCATGATTATTTGTTCTTGTACGTCGAATAAGATTATTATTATTATTATTATTATTATTATTATTATTATTATTATTATTATTAGTGAATTCTTATATATGTTTTCCGTAGTGGTGTTACATCTCTCCGGAACGTTGATTGGGGATTTCTGATTTATTCCTATTTTTGGTTAAAGTTCATCCCTTTACTGTGTTGTTTGCATCTTTTTACTACTAACATGTGTTTTTTTATACTAACGTCTCTACACATGACATCAGTTAGCAAAAAAACGACAAGCTAACCATATTTACCCACATTAAATCAGATATCTTTTTCAGATATTTGAGAAAAATTTCACACTGTTGGGTTGATGGAGTAAACTGACAAAGAAAAGTAACTCTTTACTGTGCAAGATGACTGGTTTCAGGCCACTCGAAAACATTGTATATATATATAGGCAAGAAGTTAGGTACATATGAAATCATTTTTATGAACTGGTATCCCGCAACACTCGCTTCTGCCACTAACATTCATCATGGTCACTGAATAAGTTTTTTCAAGTCGATTGCTTCTTAACAATCAAGATAAATTTAAGTAAATAGAATATCAGTGTTTCCGTTATTCGAAACACTCATGTGGTGAGAAGTATGAAACCCTTGACTATAGATGGTGTAAGTGTCAGTATTATGTCTTCTCAATATTGTTCGTTGTCGTCTGTGGATTGTTTTTCTTATTAGTTTGATAGATAGTAGCCAGCACCACTTTTAATTAGTAACTGCGGAAATTTCATCTCGAAGTTGTAGTCATTATTGGATTAAGAATTTGTATCAAAAATAAGCCTTGCCAATTAGTGAACTCTGTACAAATCCAACAACATAAAGAATTAATAATTGTGCAGTAAAGCAGCAGTTCGCTGTGAACATATGCTACCATACACTATAGATTCACTTCCAAACCCTAGACTGTTGTATATATTAGTGAAGATTTTCTGAATATAAATTTACCTAGAATAAGAAGCAGATGCAAAGTAGTCCAGTTTACAAATTTATATCTGTTGCACAGAACTTGATTAAATATTACTGTGTGAAAGTATCTACCTTTGATCAATGTGTGAAAATTGAGAGTATTGTGTGTTGTACTTTTTTAGAGCCTTTTTCTTACTGTTATTGCTAGTTAATTATTAACTCTTTCTTACAGTGATCAATTAATTTACTATCAAGTGGTATGCATAGCACTCAGGCACTAAAGTTGTTGCTTTGTTTCAGACTTATATAAATTACGCAAGCTTTGGATTTGTTTCATATCAGTGGTTATTATCAGCATCTATAAATGATTACTTCAGAACGTAGGTCATCATTCCAAAATTAACTGACATCAAAACCTTTCTGATTGTAGTAGTAAAAGACCTGACATTGAAACACAGCGGGAGGGCACATAACGTCTACTAAGAAACAAGAAAGTATTGTTGACAATTTCATTCTACCTGTCTTCTAATCATATATTTTCTTAGTAGAAGTATTAGTAGTGTAACAACAGAAGACAAGGGCCAGGCAACAGATCATTTATTAAGGAAAATCAAAACATATTTATAGATTTTAAAGTACATTATTGTGGATTATTGTTAGTAGAAAATGCAGTCTTTTGATTGGTTGTTTCTCACAGCAAGTTAACCTTGTATCTCTTTGTGGCTGTGTTAGATCATCCATATGCTAACTGTATCCGCCTACGCAAAGCCTTTGTTCTCATTTTCTCACCAGCAATATTGGGGACATAAACATTGACGTCAATTACTGTCTACCAACTTTGGCTAGCAGCTAGCTCTCACCCCAGTAGTAGCAGTAGATCTCAGTTATCCAGATTATATCTTTCATACACTAGGCTGTGAACCACACAAACTTTGTGTTGGTGCTGATGATTCTATCTAGTTGCCCATATTGAATTGAGTGGCGCGCAGTTCGAACCCAGAACCGACTGACTATGATGAATCACATCTCCGTCCTGGGATATAAGACTGTTGATCACTTACTCGGACTCAGTTTTTACATGAGTTGTCTTAAACAGTAACAGATTCACGATTGCCTATTGGAAGTTGAAGATCCAGATTTTAAACTTCAGAATAATAGTTTTAGTCGTATGTATGATAATGTTCTTACATTTAGAATCACAGACGCCTCAGTACCTGCAGTATACACAAGCTATGTGGCTATTATATACAAAATTGGTAGATATGTTATTACAGTTGAACAGTTTCTGAAGAATTTATAGACAATAATTTCAATAAAATTATACCGACAAGTATTGTGAAGTATCGTCGATGTATACTCTCTTCAAACTAATTAATCTTTTTGTCATGAGTGTTTTCAGCGTCTGTTGAAGGAAATATTTCATTTAGAAAAAAGAATCTTTCGTTTCATTTTCTTATATTTTGGTTTGTTCTAGACTTTTTTATAATTCCTTCTAGATGAAGTGACGTCTTTGTTACACGTTTTGTAACAAACAATTAATCACTACCGTTGTATTAACTTACAACACCTTTCTCGTTCATCCTTAATTTGTTCATTATGTGTTTATTTGTTCAAATCTTGACAAGAATTACGAAACATGATAAATGCATTTTACTTTTGTAATGATGTATACCTTATTGGCTCCCTCTTTTCTCCCCTTAAATAAAAAGATTTAAATGTCCCCACATATTGATAGCAAATTAGTATTAATAGTTTTTAAATAACTGAAACATGGAATCTTGGAAATTGCACCGGTTCATCCCAAATGTCACCATACCATTAGCGTAATATGTAGTAATAATAATAATAACTTTATTCTAGACAGCATGCTAACCCAGGAGAGAATTTCCGGCGTATTTAAATTACAAAATAACTTCTGTTCTAGCAGCATTTGAAGTCAAATAGTATTCGGCAGCATTATTTGTGATGCTGTGTTGTTCCGTCGAGAGCGATTCCAAACATTTACGATATTATTATTCCCTTGGGTTCCGAGTGGAACGTAGGCCTTCAACAACACCTCCACTTTGTTCTATTTCCTGCTGTCCTCTTCATTTGGGCCCGCGATTGTCCATAATCTCTCATCTCCTGCATGTCACCCTCGCACCGATGACTTACTCGTCGTTTCCCATTGGGATTCCATTCGAGCAAAGGACTGGCACGTGATGTCATTCGACAGCCTCCCCACAGTATTCCCGATCCATCTCCATTTTCTTCCACATATTTGTTGAGCGATCGGCTCTTGGTTGCTTTGTTCATCATTGTTAGAGCTTCCTGTTGCTAATCCTTTCAGGCCCGCTTGCCTGTCATTTGATCTTCAGTATGGAGTGCATAAGTTTTCCAAACTGATTTCAGTTTGATGAAGGAGTATCTTACCTTTCCGATGCTATCTGGCTAGTTTTGAGCATCGTCATCCGTTCCGAGTTCCTGTGGTGGAAACCGTGCTTCCTGGCCAGATAAGTGAAGAAAGTAACCTCTTTCAAGTTTCTCCCGTTGATGGTGATTGGTGCTGGTTGTCTTCTTAACGGTCAGTCCAACGTATTCCTGTCTTCTCATTCCCTATGCACAGTCTGACGCATAATCCAGTCCACCACAGTCAAGAATATCTTCGGTGATGATTGGCAGCTTTTCCTAACTCATGTATTCACTTCAAACGCCTCACTGAGTTTTCCGTTGTGGATCACCTGACACTTGGCATTGTCATACAACCAACTGTTGAATGAGGTTGATAAAGACTTGGGCACTGCACGCCATAGTGTAGAAGCAGTTTCCAAATTACTTCTCGGTCAACGCTGTCTGGTGAAGGCCTTTTCGAAGTCGATGAAGTTGAAGTAGAGATTTGACTAACATTCTATACTCCATCCGATGATGAGAATGCGTGGAGTTGAAATTTGGCCTGCACATGATTTGCCGTTGCTGAACCCAGCTTGTTCCGGCTGGCGTAAGTCTGTATCCAGTTCATCTTTTATTCTCTCCAGGATGAGGCGACCTAGCATTTTACCTGGCGTAGACAACAGCATTATTCCACGCCAGTTCTTGCAGAGTGAGGTGCGAATCGCCAATCTTTGTTAGCTTGACAAGGGGTCCATCCCTTCTTCCAATCGGTAGGCAAATTTCCTTATTTCCAAACCTTTGCAACAATGGAGTCAGCACATCCGCCACAGTGTATGTGTCCGTTTTCAGTGCTTCAGGTGGAATTTCATCCCGCCTCACTGCCTTCCTAACGGAACTTCAGTAGCTTGATCGCATTCAAGGTTTCTGCTTTCGTTGGAGGATTGGTATCCACTGGAAGGCAGCTCCGTGCATGCTGTTGGTGTATTTTTGGCAAGTTGCAGGTAATGGTTCATTCAAGAGTCTTTTGAAGTGATCAGTCCATTGTTTCATTTGTTTCTCCTCCTTGGTAATCAGGTTCCCTTGGACATCTTTTATTGGTTTCATCATCTGGGTTGATCTCCAGATTGCGACCTGGTTATCTGACATATTGTCCTGAGGTCTCTTTTACCTGTGGCCCACCTGCCTGTTCTGCTTCAGTTGTCGGTCAGTGTGTCGGAGAATTGTCTTTAATCTCTCCTAGCACTATTCAGTGCAGTGTACATTGAACTCAGCTTCTCCTTCTCCTGTTGTGCATCTCTGCATTGAGTCATCTTCTCTCTCATCATCCTCCTCTCCTCTCCTCGATTAGCTTCTAGGTAGAAGTCCGTTGACAGCCATTCCTGTCGTGTCTCTACTTTCTTCGTAGAATTCTATCTGATTTGTGGTGTGTCCGTCGGGCGAAATCTATGTTGCTTCGTGTATATCCTGGTACGTGTACACACTTTCCCCCATCACCAGCTCATTGCAGGCGCAGAAGTCTGTGAGAAATTTTTCATTTTGTTCAAAGCCTCTAGACCCACGATGAGTTCTCTTCCTGTATTATCTGCTGACATTTTGGCATTCATATAGTCCACGAGGATTTTGATGTCACCATTCGGGATGTTTTGTAGTTGTCTGTAAA